CTGGAGATATATCGAAAAGTCTGGAGGGGGGGCAAAAAATAGCCCCCCCCACCAGGGCGCGGGTTAATCGATGATGCTCTCTGATAATATGACAAAGCAGGCATATAAGCAATTAGTGCAACCCTAGCTGATAGCTGCTAAGAGACACAATGAACCTGATTTGACCAGATCTGCACCTAATCTGTACCTACCAGATGTGCACCAAATGTGTACCAGATGGCCGTCGTGAAAACGGGTATTAGTAACATTGGAGGTGACTACGGTATTTACTAATTATCTACCTTCTAATAATAATGTTTTGTAACTTAGAACCGTGTCCAATCTTGCTAGACATGCTGAACTTGGCCATTTGAGCTCTCCCGTTTCACCGGCATCAACCGATTGGACCGTCAAGACCTTAGATGGATCGACGACAGGTGGCGCTACTTTGTATGTTGGACTTGTCTGAAGCCTTTGACGTGATACCCCACGACCGATTGCTCGTCAAACTTGAGCAGTACGGCGTCGACGTCCGCTGGTTCTCCAGTTATCTTGCCTATCACCAACAACAAGTCCAGATACGTACGTATGTACACTGGACGGTCGTGGTACTCTGTCACGGCCTTTAGCCAACCCCATCGGCATCTATCAGGGATCTGCGCTCGGGCCGTTGTTGTTCAACGTGTACACCACCGATATGTCACTGTTTTTGCCGGAATGTGCCTTGTACGATCGTTGTCTTGTACATACAATACTGTGATGACACGCAGCTAGCTGTACTGGGGAGTCCAGGTGATGCCGGAGCTATGGTAACCCAGTTGGAGCGGGACCTTGCAGCTCTGTCACTCTGGTTCCGAAAAAATGGGCTAAAGATTAACGCAGATAAAACTCAGATCATTGTTTTGGGCACAAGGCAGCAAATTCGTCAACTAGTCCCGATAGAAATCAGGTGCATGGGTACCACTACTGTGGGAACGTCTTCAGCTAAAAACCTCGGCGTCACTTTTGACGAGAGCATGACCTTCTCAAATCATGTGACGGATGCAGCCTGCCGATGCACCGGTATTCTGAGCGGCCTGAGTCACAGTAGGCACTACCTGCCGAAAAGTACGCTGGCCACTCTGGTTCAGGCTCTGGTAGTCTCATCCATCCGGTACGCCATTGTTGTCTATGGTGGATGTGGTGTCACCCAGATGTCTCGGCTCCAGCGGCTGATCAATTTCGGTGCTCGTGTTGTTTCGGTTTCGGCAGCCAAAAATAGCCATTTTCGGATGGATCGGCTTGCCACGATAAGTACAATACAATACAATAAGTAGCATCTGGCCAGCCGGCAAATGTCGTGAGGGCTGTACATATTTACGCGTGTTAGATTAGGTCAGGTCACGTCAGGTCAGGTTAGGTTTGCTTTGGTTTGGGGTAGAAAGAAGCATCTTCGGGCAGCGCCTCTCCTTGGTTGCTAAAACGAAACGCGCGAGTGCCAGACATTACGAAGTCCAAAAGACAGTTACGTAGACGTCGGCCCATTCTGGATTTTTATATGATGTAGCTCATGTATATGAGAATAAAATATGTAAAAACCAGCAAAATCGAAGGTTTTTTTTTCGGAAAATCAAAACTTATTTTTTGAATTTTAATTAAGTTCACTTATTGTCAATATTGTTATCCTCAAAGTAAAGCCTGAACTATTCCCTCCATTTCACACTTTGTTGCGTGGTGATATGTCTAAAACTTCAATGGTTATGACGCTTTAAAGATGATAATGTGCCTTGCCTAAGTCAATGTTCGATGACGTATATCTCGGAAACGTGACGTCATATCTTGACAAAAAATGTCTTCTTTCGTTTCATATATAGATGAGTAGTTTCACAAAGTTTCGCAAAAATCGGAGAAGGTGAAGTTCAAAATGGTTATTTTTTGTCCCACTTGACGTGGAATGCCCCTTACCATATAGGGGACCGTGTTAACGGCCGCCGTCGGCACCATTTCGGGCTTAGTTTTGACTTTGCAGCGCAATAAAAGGCTGATTTATAATTGAAAATGGACTAGCGAGAGTCGTTATTGAATCATAATTTGATGCTCTACAAAACTAGGCTATTTTCATTGTGATGGCATCACAGACTACACCGCTAACCCCAATAAAGCAGAACTATGTCGCGTCATCGATGATTACATATCATGTTTCTTTGGTATATACATTGAAAAGTAAAACACTTTTTACTGCATCTACGGTGAGATGCTAGAGAAAATTGTATGGCCTACCTAATGGTACCCATTACTAAACAATTAGGTGAAAGATGTCGTCGCTAAACTCTCGTAAATTCGTATGTCCGCCTCACTATGAAGTTTGGACCGTAACGTGGACTAATCGATGTGCGGAGAGCGATCCGTCCATGTCCATATCACCGCGAGCTCCCGAGTCCAGTCGATCTCAGTTCATCGTGTAGACCGCGCCATTGCATTGGTGCGAGCTGAATAGGGGTGTTCCGGAAAGGCTATACCACTGGACTCGAGCGTGGCCAAAAGATGGTTCGAAGAGAGAGAAAGAGAGAGAGAGAGAGAGAGAGAGAGAGAGAGAGAGAGAGAGAGAGAGAGAGAGAGAGAGATAGAGAGAGAGAGAGAGAGAGAGAGAGAGAGAGAGAGACAGACAGACAGACAGACAGACAGACAGACAGACAGACAGACAGACAGACAGAGAGAGAAAAGAGAGAGAGAGAGAGAGAGAGAGAGAGAGAGAGAGAGAGAGAGAGAGAGAGAGAGAGAGAGAGAGAGAGAGAGAGAGAGAGAGAGAGAGAGAGAGAGAGAGAGAGAGAGAGAGAGAGAGAGAGAGAGAGAGCACATTTCAAAGGTCACCTTCAGCCGCGGGGCAGCAGGAGGCCATACAAAACGTGACAACGACCTTCCGTCGGCGATCTGGCCAAAAAATGACCACTAGTCGGGGTTTGGAACACAGTCGGCCACACAACACGGACATTGGGGACAAAATTGGTGAGCAGACCAAGAAGCCATCCTCGACCGTTGCCAGACCGATCGGGAATGATGGAATGACAGGGATCTGAACGTCCTGAACGTCCGTGATACCTACTTGACCTGTGAGATGTGAGCTATGTGCTGTAAATCGGGACCTGTGGCTCACAAGAATACTTAAAAAAACAGCTCATAGTCGTGATCTCTGAGCTGTGAGCTGCTATGATCACAACATTGCAAGCTGAGAGCGGTGCTGCTGTGAGCTTTATGTAGTGAAAACTGATCGTGAGCTTTTGAGCTCTACACCTCAAACTGCGGACTGTAACGCTACGGCTTAGAGACTAGAGTTTTCAGCTATGAGCTATGCGATGAGCTGTGAGCCACGCAATAAGTACTGAAGATTACTCTGAAACGAAGTTTGTCGGCCTGATCGGAGTGACAAGTCAGGCTCCGAATGCTCCGAATGAGCCATAGGTGTCCGACCAGAGGACATAATAAGGACGGAATGGGCACTCCACGGCCGGGTATTGTCAGTTGTTACAGACAGGTCCTTCGCAACTATCGCCTGTCTCATACTGATACTGTGACGCACACTTCTCGAGTGCCGAGTGGCGGAAGATGCTCCGGCAGAAGGCACGATATCAGATAAGATAAGCAAGATAACCCAGACGAGGACGAGGGTTCAACTGTCACAAGAAGCGGGTAGAAAATAAGACAACTCTTATGAGATAAAACAAATGACACTTACCAGGAAGGTTGTTTGTACTAAGTAGGGGAGAGCGGGGCCAGTTGAAACACGGGGTCAGATGAAACATGGCTTTATTTTCAACAGTATGCAACATATGGCGTTGCCGATACCACTGCGCATCCGCGCTCGACCACTCCCTTTGTCAACGGCGTTTGGGCGGCAAACGGACGGTAATTTTGATTTGACACTTGTTTTTGTGTTTTTGAGGGGCGTTTGGGAGAAATCGTTTTTATGAAGATTTTGTGATATATCATATACCTTTGTTTGCTGAAAGAAGAACTCCTGGCTCCGGAATAACACCTTATTTGGCCCTTCATTCAGCATGATGCCGTCCCTCCAGCTCGTTTGACATGTGCTTTACGGCGCGTGCGAGATGGCGGGAGCGGATGGGGTCAATTGAAACGCTTCTCTGAGGGTCAGTTGAAACAGGGCCACAGGCCGTTTCAATGGACCCCGGTGACCTTTGCAATTGTTATTGTTCAGGGGCTGTAAACATTAAAGGAAATAGTCCACCTTTGAAATGAGCTTTGAAACTGAAATAGTAGTTTAATAGAGCTCAATTTTTGACCCCTTTTCTCCAGCCTTTTGCTTGAAAGCACACTATAGCCTGAGATATTTCTCATTTTTCTCATCCGCCCATTTTACCATAGTCTATGTACTTTATGTCACCTATTATGAGGAACTTTGCACTTTTAGCTTTCCAACGACCTATTGAATGTAGCATTTGGAAAAGTAAACCGGACAAAATATCTCCTTAAGAAAGTGGCCTTAAAGAGGAAAACATCCCATTGTTAAGGATAGGTGCAATTGACCCCATGGGCTGGTTCAATTGACCCTCGCATCGGGGTCATTTGAAACGGGCGTAAAGCTGTTTTATAAGCATGCGTTTGGCCGCAAAATATGTTTGAAACATAATTTTACATATCTTAAAATAAAGCCAAAAGAGCATATTTTTTCATGGCATTGTGCATTTTTCGATATGACAACTAGATCTCGCTGTGCATGTCAATATATAAAAAGTGGTTCAACTGGCCCCGCTCTCCCCTACTTACGACAAGAGAAGGTGCAGCCAATCCCTATCTATGACAAAGAAAGCATTACACAATCGCATCACATGCCCATTTACCACGTCACGGGTGCGATCTTTTGGTGATCGAGTTCACACACCCACAGGGTTCGCATGCACGATTCATTCACAACTCCTCCCTTTTTTCATCGATTCCTCAGGAAGTTACACAGGTCCAACTATGGCTCCCTGTTCTCCCCGCGCCGTTACGGACAGTCTCACTATATTCCCTATCAGCCTCACCTTGGCAGGAGTCCCGGAGGAAGCTGCGCACAGGCCCGGCGTCCGTCCGCGCACTATCAGTGTCCTCCGTCCGGCCGACACCGCTCACCCGACCCCCGGCGCGTCACTGTCGGTCTCTGGCACCGAATACCGACCCGGCGGCCGGGGCGCGCGCACTGCCGACGGCGCTGACCGCGGCGGTGGGGGTGGGGGGACGGGACCGGCGGGCGGGCGGGCCGGCACCGACGGAAGTCCGCGCCGTCCGACGGCGGACTGCGCTTCCCGCTCCGCGCGGACAGAACCCCACCGCGGCCACAGCTGGAGGGAGTCGTGTGACATACCCACTCCCGCAGCTGGTCACTCCCACCCCGCGCCCCTCCCCAGCCGCGCTACCCCCATGGACCGGCCGCCGACTGACCCTGTGCTGTGACCCGGTGACCTCAGTGAATGGCATCCGACCGACCGGCACCGGATGTCTGGCTCTCCTAGCAATCGGCTGCAATGAGAAGAGAGCTTCCGGGACGTCTGGCGATGAGCGATCAATGTGCAATGGGTATCTCTGCCATCTGGACTGGTATGGTATGAGCATTAGACAGAACGTGAACTCTGGCTGAATTACATTTCCAAGCGTCATTCAAACAGTTGCTTTGGCATTGTTCAGCTGCAGTCACTTTGGTCGGAAATGAAGGAGCGTGTTTGTTGCTGGGCGGAGACGCACCCTGCCCGTGGATTTCATCGCCTATCTCACACGACAGCACAGTTTCAAATGTATCAAGCTGGATGAAGACCATACCTAAACACAACTCATCGGGATCGGAGACGTAGCGACATGAAGCAATGACCGATAAGTCTAGTTATCAGGGATAAAAGTTCGTTTTTAATACATGTCTTTACTCTTCACGAAGAAGTTATGGACTCGAAAAATAGATCGGCCGAAACGACGCGGTAAAAGACGAAAAATAACGTCTTCGGCTGTCCGCCACTGCCTGCCGACTGCCGGCAGTGGCACAGTATGCGAAAGAGTAATGACTAAAATGAAGCGAACTGACTGCATCCTAATCTTGTTTCGGTCACTGATCTCCCCTCAGTTTGTCGCTTTTGTATATACACTGTGGCTTTTGTAATCAGTCCGCACATCCCTCGACGTTTACCTTGTCGCGTAAACGTGCCCTTCGTCCTGTCCTACATGTTTTTGTTTCACCAAAAATGTACGTTTCGTTGCTTCACGCTATGATGTTCCAGAATGTTCCAGGTTCCTGTCGTTCACGTTCCGGATGTGTTCCCGTTCAAAGAGATGATGGCCGAAAACCCCACAAGAGCGTCCCTCGCATCACTGAGCGAGCTGCTTCTGTACTTGTTAACGTCTTTTTTTTTGCATTGATCGACAGTTAGGTCGTCTCGCTATTGTCCATTTATTCCAAAACTAAAATATTTGTAGGTTCCTTCCTATGGTATAGTCAGCCGTCAGGGTAGATCCATAGCTGCATCGTGCATCGTCTCACAACACACTCAAACGGTATCAGACGCCTTTAGAAGCCCATCTAAACCCCCAGTCATCGGAAAGCGCTTGTATTTAGTTACTCGTACATGACTTCGGCTTACCAGTGTTCACATCTTGTTCTCCGAGCTACGCATCGGTATCGTAAAAACAAGATAAATAGCACGCCCGATACCGTGAAACAACAGTAGGTGAGTAAATTTCCAGACGCATAGATGCATATGCATATTTCGGTTGGTACCAGATGGAATACATAATTTATAACACTGCAGGTGAGATGTATTTTCATCAACAAGCCATTGACTTGTGGAAGACAATGCCTTTATTAAAACAAGTATAAACAAATGACATTCACAAGAGTATATACAAAACACGGATTCATGTATACACGGGAGATTTTTGGGGCGTCCGTAATTCAGCTGAAAAATATACACTGTATGGGCGGGCTGGCGGGCGGTGCCGCAGGCCCTTCACGGATGATCAAATTACTCAAAAACTAAGAGGATAAAATCTAACAGCTACCTACGCGCGGCGCTGGGCCGCGGCCAACCAGCCCCTCCCCCTCCCCTCCCAACAATGGTGGCGACGCGCCCGGCGCCCGCGCCGTGACGTCACTGCCCAGACACGCTATGATGACGTCACACTGAGCGCCTGATGATGGGATGCGAGACGAGCGGCCTACGCGCGGTATGAGAACAATGTGAACGGCGCCCGGCGCACGGCGGCGGCGGCGGCGCCAAGTTGCAGTGCGCCGGCCGGCCGGCAGATGGCTCCGCTATCACAGTGGGCGGCGCTCGGCCGGCCTCAGGGCCGGTGGAAGCGCGTCAGGTGGCGCGAGTCCTGGTGCACGTCCATCTCGGCCGCCTTGAAGTCGTTGAGCTCCTTGCGGATCATGGCCTTGTCGCGCGGTGTGAGCCGCGTCCACGGCTTGTCGGCCCGTCGGTCGTACTCGTGCGCCTGCGTCACCTCCACGTAGTCGTTGAAGTGAATCACCTGAGGCAAACGGGGCGAACCAACTCAGTCGTGGAAAACAGGGGACGCAGATACACACAACAATAATTTTTAAATGGAAAGATTCCATTAACCGTACTTCGAATTGACTAGGCCCAAAAAATTATTCTGAGCGCACAAAAAAAAAACGACAAATGCAAACACGTTCCCAAAACCAAACGCATTCCGATGTAATCCAGCTGAAAAGGAAGAACGATGGGTCTTCAGCCATCTCCTGAGGAAGAAAAGGAGGACAGGGTGGCGCGCGGACCGTATTCGGAAACCTATCGGGAGATGTCATTAGGCTTTATTATGTTTCTCTATCGTTCGTAGCCTCTGTGGAAATCAGCTTTCATGTCTAGTCTATCTCTGTCCCCTTGCAGCCTCGCCACATCACCGAATTTATCATCAATCAACACTTGTAATTGACGTTCAGTGGTACGGTAACGAGCGCAGGGATCCGATCCGCCGCCAAGGCTCCACGTGGCGGGAGATTGCCAGTGCTGCTCATAGATGTCGCTAATAGCGGACGCCTGATACGATGCTGTGCCGCAGCACATCTGTTCCACTAGGCGGCGAGAGATCGCCATTCCTGTTCATAGATGCCACTGGTAGTGGACGCCTGATAGGATGCTGTGCCGCAACACTTCTGCTCCGCTCCTATGCGGGAGATTGTTGTTTCTGTTCCTAGATGCCGCTAGCAACGGACGCCTGATATTACGCTGTGCCGCACAGCCAGCCATCTATAACACAGCTAAGCAGCGGGAAGTTATCATGTCTGCCCCTAGATGTCGCTGGTATCGGGCGCCTGTAATGATGCTGTGCCGCAACTCCTCTGCTCCGCTCCGCGGCGGCGTGGCGGCGAGGATCGACAGACGATCAGAATTCAGAATGGCGCAGTGATCGGCAACACTTGACACTGATGCAAACAAGAACTGTTGCCTGTTGCTTTAACATCGTAAAATGGAAATATTGCCTCAAGCAGGCCTGCAAGGCTCTGCATTATGCCAAGTTCGCACCAAAAACAAAACTACAGTTAAAACAGCAGTTCTCATCGAAATGAGATCTTATTCTAATTGCGATTGACCAACAACAGCGAGGGCATATGGAAGGGAAGGGAGCAGCCCGAGCGACCATTCGGACAGAAATGACGCACGGGAATAGTGTGTTATCCGGATTGCAAGTACGACTGAACCATCAACATCTACGATTGCATCAACTACGGTATGGCCTGAGAGGAATCTTTTGTGCAATACGTCGACTAGAGACTAGTACAACACTGTAAGTGGAATGTAGGGATGATATTCGTTTTGCTTTCTGGCCAATGCTAAAACAGCAGCCAGGATGTTCCGCCCAAATTGAAACACAATGATGTTTGCGGATGCATTGTAAAAAGCCACAACGTTGTTTTGCCTGAGTCAAGGGCACAATTCTACCTCCACACGTCAGGATTCAGAGGTAAGCCGACCGGCAAATCACGCTCTTCCCTGAGAACAGCAGAGAGGTCTGCCATCAATCTCCAAACTACTGGTTCAGAAAACATTTCCCTAAAAAATGACACAGACCACTAAAAATGTAGATTGCTCTGCCTGAAGACAAAGCATGAGCATCAACCTATGTCAAGAGGACATATCGTCGAGGCGTTGAATGAATATGGATCCCTAAAATGCAGGAAGCTCCCGAAGTGTGCAGACATGTGTCACACAAAAAGGAGACCAGCCGAAAACTCCCGCGCGCTGATATCACCAGCCATTAGAGGGCGAAGTCAATACGTTTGTGACACAGAGGCCGGAATTGAGGGCACCATTTCTGGTGATGAAGCCCGGGTCGTCAATGAGTTATGATAGCCATGAAGTGGGCCGAACGACGGCGGCGGCCGGCGGCCCTGACATAGGGTGACTGCCATTCTATCAGGAATGGACCACCTCTTCGGTGGGCAGTGCGACAGGGGTGTCCAGTGTCCACGGCAATCCTGCACCCCTACTGTCCACTGGCTGCCTCCCGCGCACATAGGCAACCCATGACTGGCGGGCACGACACATCCTCATTTGGGGACCCTGTTGACATGATAGAATATCGTACTATATCATTTGCCTGCAAATTTTTAGCAACAGACCCCGGTTCAGCGTCTCAAGAGTTTACAGCTACAAGGAAATGAGCGAATCTGTATGCTTTGAGGGGCTTTCAGTCCTAGGGACCGACCAGAAGTTCCGCCATAAATTCGGAGCGGGTGGAGACCGTTCGATTCAATCAGACGACGCGTCCCGAAGTTACCAGGAAAACAGAGAAGGCCACCCCCGATCAACAGTCATAAAACCACCGACAGCCTGCCGCCGGACGCCAAAATGTGCCAGCTCAGCGCTCCTATATGCAGGAGCGTCCCAGTGTATTCAGGACCGTTCACTATCAGCAGCCAATATTCAATAACAAAGTCGTTGAAGCCTGAAACCCGGTTATCTTGTTGTCATTGTTTCGTTCTAAAGATATAAAGTGATTCGTGCAGAATTTAAGTTCCTTTTGAAAATGAAATTGTAAATAACAATCTGTAAGTGGTCAAACCCAAGATCTAACTTAGCCGAAACTTTAACATGGCGGGACGGGGCCTGTCTGACATCAAGCCTCGCGGACCTCGTGCACATATTATCCGCTGCAAAAATACAGTGGCCCCAACTTTCATTGTGAGCTGTTGGTCACACACCCTAAGGACGGTTTGCATGGCCGCTCTGAGGGACGCTCTCTCCCTCTGTATACGCACCTTGCGCTGTTTGAGCTCCTCGACGGTAGGCCGGAAGCTGAGTTTACGGAGCAGCGTCACCTTCCGGTTCTCCATGTCCCGGATCGACTCCTCCAGCGACATGGCTGCAGAGACGGACATATAACTGTGTCAGTAGAGGGAGAGAGACTGGCCCCCCGACTGGAGCAGCGTCACCTTCCGGTTCTCCATGCCCCGGATCGACTCCTCCAGCGACATGGCTTAAGAGATGGGGACAGATGTGGGTCAGAAGAGGAGAGAGAGACTGGCCCCCCACAGCGGGGGAGCGTTCTCCATGTCCCGGATCGACTCCTCCAGCGACATGGCTGCAGAGACGGACATATAACTGTGTCAGTAGAGGGAGAGAGACTGGCCCCCCGACTGGAGCAGCGTCACCTTCCGGTTCTCCATGTCCCGGATCGACTCCTCCAGCGACATGGCTTAAGAGATGGGGACAGATGTGGGTCAGAAGAGGAGAGAGAGACTGGCCCCCCACAGCGGGGGAGCGTTCTCCATGTCCCGGATCGACTCCTCCAGCGACATGGCTGCAGAGACGGACATATAACTGTGTCAGTAGAGGGAGAGAGACTGGCCCCCCGACTGGAGCAGCGTCACCTTCCGGTTCTCCATGTCCCGGATCGACTCCTCCAGCGACATGGCTTAAGAGATGGGGACAGATGTGGGTCAGAAGAGGAGAGAGAGACTGGCCCCCCACAGCGGGGGAGCGTTCTCCAAGTCCCGGATCGACTCCTCCAGCGACATGGCTGCAGAGAGAGACGGACATATAACTGTGTCAGTAGAGGGAGAGAGACTGGCTCCCGGCTGGAGGGGAGCGTTCTCCATGTCCCGGATCGACTCCTCGAGGGGAACAGATGTGGGTCAGCATACATAGGACACTAGGACAGTAGGAGCACGGACTAGCCCCTCTCCAGTCGATGTGGCTGGCGGCAACGGGACAGAACTAGTGTGTCTGCATCGACTGACGAACAGTCAAGACAGAACAAGCAAGCCTAGCCCAAGTGTTAAAACAGAACTGACCGATCCGATCAGCTATCTTTGTTTCCAGAATATTTCATCAAAGTCTTACTGACGCCACCCTTCAAAGCCTAAAAAAAACTTTCCCGACTACGACAGCCGCGCGACATCCCTCCGGCCCAGATGATACGTCCTCTCTGCCCCTCTCACTCCCCCGCTCACTTTTGAGGATGTTCCTCTCCTCGAGCTCCTCGGCGGTGGGCCGCAGGCTGAGGCGCCGGTTCAGTTTGGCGCTCAGCTCACTGCGCCAGTCAGTACGGTCCTGCTCGGTCTGCGCGTGGATGATGTTCCTGTCAATCAGCTCCTGCCGGCCGGGGCGCAGCGCCAGTTTGAGCGCCAGGCTGTCGGTGCGCTGGACCCGCGAGCCGAGCCGCGTCAGCACTCCGCTGTCCGGACCGTCGTCGTCGTCGCGGTAGGGGATCGGCCCGTCGTCATCGTCACTGTCGTCCCCGGCGGCAGCAGCAGCGGCAGCAGCGGCGGCGGCAGCGGCAGCCGGGGAGGGGCGGTTCTCTTTGTTCTCCGAGCTGGAACTGCTGCCGAACCGAAGCGGTCTGACGGGACACGGGGCCGGGGCAGGTCAGACGGGGCACCGGGGTCAGACAATTCAACTTTATTTCTGTCCATTGTCCATGCCCATAATCATGAATAAACGACAAACAAACAAACAAACTAGGACAGAGGGGGTCACCCGGCCGCCGGAGCGGTCTGACGGGACACGGGACCGGGGCAGGTCAGACGGGGCAACGGGGTGGGGGACACGGGGCCGGGGCAGGTCAGACGGGGCACCGGGGTCAGACTAGGTCAGAGGGGGTCACCCGGCCGCCAAAGCGGTCTGACGGGACACGGGGCCGGGTCAGGTCAGATCAGGTCAGACGGGGTGGGGGACACGGGGCCAGGGCAGGTCAGATCAGGTCAGACGGGTTGGGTCGCCGGGGCGGGGCACGGCATAATAGGGGGTTGAACAGGGTCTCAGTGGGGGCCAGAGACGAGTCATCAAAGGTCACCAAAGGTCGGGTGGAATACAGAGGGTCAGAGAGGATCACCCACGGGACCAGACGACGCAATCAGGGATCTGACGGATCACCAGAGTGGCTAGCGGCTTACCAGCCGGCACCAAATGTGTGGAGCAGGCCAGAGGAAACAGAAAAACATAGAAGAGGGTGGCATGTGAGCGATCTCAGACCTAAAGAGGGGAGGCAGTTTCATATAGCATACCAGTACTTTATCGACTAGAAGCCCGATGGTGAAGGAGAAACCGCGTCACATGACCCTCCACAGTCCACATTTATGAGAATATTCAGGTAAAACGTAGCTGCCGGACAACCAGCATGGCCACACTGGTGCGCCGATTGCGATGTGACTGGAACCTACCCAGTACCCAATTCATCAAGTCACCAGAAGCACAACATTGAAGTGATTTGGCGGTGATCAAAAGCACTTCACTGAATATTCAAAGCCAGCATGCTACGATAAAAGCGATAGAAGGTGCATTAACCCGCGCCCTGCTGGGGGTCCTGGATTTCCACGCCCTGCTGGGGGGGGGGGGTGTTTGAACACCCCCCCTTGTAACTCGGCTCCTGGGCCACGTAGCGATACGGGGAAGGCGGCGTTCGAAAGAGCGTAAAAAATAATGACGAAATCACTTCGGTCAATTTTTTGGTCAGGTCAAAGGTCAGGTCACCAGAGGTCATTGAAGGCAAAATTTCGCCGATTTCCAGGTCGAATGTCGAAAATTTCCAAGAAGCCAACGCATAACTCGGGAACCAATAGAGCTACAGCGCCGCGGAAAAGCGCATTCGATAGCCCTATTAACGCCCTTTCTGAGTAATTCTCTCAGATTTGACCTAACGTCAACGGTTTTGCCTGCAGGGGGCAAAAACTGCAAAAATAGCCGATTTTTTTGAAAACAGTTTTTCTGCAATAACTTTTGACCCAAGCCTTGTACGAGCTTACTTTTACCGGCATCGTGTTCCTCTCGTCAAGACGCATCGAATGATCTATAACTTGACCTTGAAAGGTCAACTTGAAAATTTGACCTCAGGTCAAGGTCATGACCTGACCGGAAAGGGTCATGTTGCATATCAGTCGATCCGTATCGTCGAGCTGAACACATCTAAGGCGTTTTCATCGCTCTAGCATGCCTCTATCAAAAGTTATTTGCGAAAAACTGTTAGATACCATTCGTGACCTAAGATGACCTCAGGGCATAAACAAGGGTCACGGACACCATTTTTAAGTTCAGTGTGTCTAAACCACTTGTAATTCGGTGTTTGGGAGTGTTTATAATGTCTTTCATCCAAAAGAGGCGCATTTCAATTTTCTCCCATTGACTTATAATGGGGAGGTCGCAAAATTGACCTGACCTTAGGTCATCGATATCAAAATTCTGAGATATACAAATTGTACATGCTATTGCTCTTAGCAATCGCTGAAAGTTTCAAAGCGATCGGTCACTCGGTGTAGCTATGACAGACATTGAAAGTTTTTATGAGGTGAGGTCACTTCAAGTGACCTGGTGACCTGACCTTGAATGACCTTGGTCTGAAATTTTCACAACATGTGTAGAATTGATGTATGATAAGGTGTACCAAAAACGGCGGCGCTCCGCGCCGCCGTTTTTGAGATATTCGCGAAAAACCACAAGGGGGGGGGGTGTTCAAACACCCCCCCCCCCAGCAGGGCGCGGGTTAACTCGCCATTGTGCACATACAATAATAATACCAGGCTAAATCGAACATAGATGCGCATTGCATGAAGCATATCATGTGAACGTGAACCGAATGGTCTCCATTACATTTACGTTCCCTTCCATTCATCAATTACACGAAGCCCCACATCGACAAACGGACATGCCAAATAATCATACGAGAGCAAACACGTCCGTAACTAATACACGAAAGAACTTCGCTCAGAAATAAATAGCCAAGCGCCCTGATCAGTCGATTCCCAGGGAAGCCCGTCCATGCCACCGGATCTCTCCGCGAGCTCTCCCAGCCGATCCAGCCCGCCCCGCCCGGCCGGCGATACAGTCAGTTACCGAGGGTAATCCCGGGCTGTTCTGGTGAGCACCTGCGCCCCGTCAGCGGCCACCCTGTCTGGGGAGCGGCGGCACGGCGCGCGCCGGCCGACACGACACACATGCAGCAGGCATAGCAGGCGGAGAGAGACGCTCATAGCCCGGCGGAGTTACCTGAACCGTATCCGCGGCAGACTGGGCATACGGCGCGCCCTTCACCGTGAGACGGGGCAGGCGGGGGCAGGTCAGACACGGGACGGCACAGTACCCTTTCCTCCGTTCCAGAGGTCAGACACAGGGCGGTACAGTACTACTGCCACATTCCCTCCGACTCCCAGAGAGTATCCGAGACGTCACGACGCGCACACGCCAAAACCCCCTCGCTGCCTACTTATCATCTCCGACTCCGTAGGCGAGAATTCTCGTAATCCAGCCCCTTTCCCTCCAAGGACACGAACCGCCACAGCTTCCTCCCCCAGCCCTAGCCCAACTAGCCAACCTCAGACCCCAGAAGTCAGACACTGTGTGGCACAGGGCCCTGACAGACAGACACAGCACACAGATGACCACCGGTTGGCAGTCGCGCCAATGCAACGATCGAACAGGCTTTCGCCTGGCTAGGGAATAGTAATTACTTAAATGAATTCGGTGATATGATTTCCGGAATGCTTCATATTCACTTAAAGGTAGTGTACCACCTTCCAATGATTTCCCATTTTATTTTTCCTAGGATAAGAAGCTTCTGTTTTTACCTAATATCGCAAAAAAATCAAAAATGGGCCTGGAATAGTGCCTTTTTCGCCTAAAAGTTTATCGGTTTTTCGATATGTATAACAACTGTAGTGGGCCGAAGTTGTTGTTGTTGCCGTTGCCGACGCCTGCAAACAGGCGTCGGCAACAATCGCGAATGCGGCGCATGTGACAATAAGCAAAGGTCATTATAGAGTTACGACGTACGGGAATGAGTTATCAGCTGTCTAATCGTAGACAACACAATGTCGAACCTTAAACTGTAAGCCTGTATTGGTATTGTTTCTTTTATTTGGCTGTCGAACATTATTTATGGTTTGAAATATGATTTTATGTAAAATAATTGATATGAAAAAGCCGTCTCTTAAGTTATGACCCCATTTCACCACACGCAAGTGGCAGAAATGACAATGATCAGCTGACGCATTTTTCTTGGCCGAAGTCAGAGCGCGCGGCCCGACGCGCCACCACCGCACCACAAAGTATGAGCAGAAGCCGCGCCCAAAGCCAGGGCCCCGGTAACGTGAGGTAGCCGAGTCGGGGCAGCGTGCGCTGACCCAAGCCGGGGCCGCGGCTTTGGGCGCGGTCTACCGCATCCCCGCGGGCAGCCCCGGGCTATCACATGACACCGGGAGGACGCGCGGCCCCGGCTTGGGTCAGCGCACGCTGCCCCGACTTGGCTACCTCACGTTACCGGGGCCCTGGCTTTGGGCGCGGTCTACCGCACCACCTAACAGGCGTGTTCGAAACCGCAGGAGATGATGATGAACGGGTTTATCGAAACTTGATTGGATGAGCCTATCGGTAATAGCGATTTCAGTGTGTGCATTTATTGTTCATAGTGGTGTGAAATGTGGTTGGGGTACGACCGACAACCCGTCGGGGCGAATTTCGCACTGGGGTACTCAAAATTTGAAGAATTTAAGACGTTTCCATGAGATTTGAAGGTATGGATAAGTTCTAAAAATCCAGTTCTCCTTATCTGGGCCATTAACTCCATACGGTCCAGGAAAGCTGGCACACTACCTTTAACCCGCGCCCCAGTGGCGGTCTCCGCCAACTTCGCCCTAGTGGGGGGGGGGGGGGGGCATATGTTACCACCCACCTCTAACTCAAAAACTAAGAGGGCTAGAAAGACGCGGTAAAAAGCAGTCGATAGCTCTCAATGCGTACGTTTGAAAGTATTTCAGTCATTTTTCATCTTAGAGCAATATTGGGGTCACCAGAGGTCATCAAAGGTCAAAATTTGCCAATGGTCATTATATTTTTCAGAAAACATGCCGTTATCTCAGAAACTATGGTAGCTTGAAAAACGCATGGAAAAGCAATCGATAGCTCTTGAGCTCTTCTTTTGAAAAGGTCATTATCAAAATTGACCTCAGGTCACGGGTTTAGCCTCCAGAGGGCAACAGGTCACGGGTTTAGCCTCCAGAGGGCAAAAACTCCAAAAATAGCTGTTTTTACGAAAAGTGTTTTTCGACAATAACTTTCGACAACAAAAAGCCACGACATTTCTATTGCCAGAATCGTGTTCCTCTCGCCGAGACGCGTCGAATGAACTATAATTTGACCTTGAAAGGTCAACTTGAAAATTTGACCTCAGGTCAAGGTCATGACCTGACCGGAAAAGGTCATGCTGCATATCAGTCGATGCGTCTCAGCAAGACAAACACAATGAGACCATCCCCAGCGTTCTATCTCTTTCCAATCGCGAGTTATTGGCAAAAATCTGTTTGTAGCCTCAAATGACCTCGGATGACCTTTCTAGAGGCTATCAGCAAAAATGACACCCTGGTCATCACGGTTGGTCCAAATCATTGTGATTCTGAAATATTTGGACTGTTCCTATGCGTACACACGGATCTAGAGGCATTTTCATTTTTCTCCATTGAATTGTAATGGAAAGGTCACGCCACTGACCTGACCTTAGGTCAGGGATATAAAAAATCCGAGATATACAAATTGTAGGCACCCGTAACATCATGCAATCCACCAAGTTTAAAACCTTTCTGACAAACACTGCAGGCTGGACATGATTGCAAACTTTTTTAGGCTTGGTCAGTTAACTTGACCTGGTGACCTGACCTGACCTGACCTGGGGTCAAAAATTTCACACATTGTCCAAAATTGATGTACCAAAAGCTACCCTAAGCGGCGCGGCGCGTAGCGCCGCGGTTTTTTATTTACACGCAAAAAACGCTACAGGGTGGTAACATATGCCCCCCCCCCCACACTGGGGCGAAGGTTAAGAGGTAATACGTGGCCCAAATTCAGGATTCAAAAAATAACCGAGAAAATCCTACGAGATTTGGAAGTTTCTTGCACTTATGAACACGTACGCCTCATTTGAGATTCTAACAGATGAATAGCCCGAAACAGACACACATGATCCGTTCCCACTGCCGTCTCTTTCCGTTGCCGCTAGTCTCGCCACCCACCAGTCCCGTCCCCTGTAACTCCATCCCGCCCGCTGCCCCGCTCCCCATCCACTCACGATGAGCTGGACGCGGCGGGCGTCTCCTGTCGCGCGGTGAGCGGCCTGGCCGGGCTGTGCACGCCACCACCACCCCCGGCCGGTGAGTGTACCGCCGGCGACTGCGGAGGCGGCGTCTCACCCGGCGCCGGGCGCGCCTTCTTCAGCGCCGACTTGAGCGGCTTGAGGTCGAGCCGCGGCTCGCGCGGCGGCACCTCGTCGACGCTCGAGTGCGCCGTCGCCATCGGGTAGTACTCGTCGTCGTCATCATCGTAGTCGCCGCACACCACCTGCGGGGGAGGTAGGGTCAGGTCAGGTGAGGTTAGGTCAGGTCTGGTCAGGTCAGGTCAGGTAAGGTCCAGTGTGGTCATGGAGTCATAATCAAGTAAGTCGTAGTGGGTTGGGATAAGTCATGCTAGTTGAGTTCAGGTGAAAGTCAAGACCACCGGTCCATTAGCTTACACCTGGCGGGAGGTTTAACAGCAGTAGGTATCTGGTAACGACGACACAGTTTACGGCATGAGTCAGTTCTACTACACCATTGAACAGCAACTGACAGCCCAGGCGGTAAGAGTTCTCAGCTCGTCGCGTCAGGCAGTGGTTGGAGACTGGCCAACCTATACCCGGCGCGTAATGGCTGTGATCAAACCCAATTGATGATTCCTAACCGGACCTGGCAGGCTTCCCAGGTAAACTGATTTAGCGGAATCAGACGCCACAGTCCGCATGGTAATGGCTAGGTGAGATGGCTACATTCACGCCTGGTACCTCCCTTAGCAGCCGTAGCTTGCCGTCGGTATCTGACTAGACAGACGGTCTGGAGAGACCATGCATCATCCACTGCCGATAATATATTGCACCACCAATCATTGGGGCCGCGCAGGACCTGTCAAAATGCCGACAGGCTGATGGCAATGGAAACATCCATTCGGCAAGCTTCTGCAATGCTATTATAGCACTGAGAATAAGTAAGGTGGCTGTCTGATTCCCATTACGAGTACTGAAGCGAAGCTCTTCAGTAGAACACAACGGTGCGGCCATCTCTCCATCTGATATTCACAGAGTTCATCTTGAGAATAATCGCAGGTCGACGAGCAACCACCACGGAACTGGACCCGTTCAGAAATCCCGGAGACATCTGGAGTACCGTAACAGCATTTCAGTTCCAGCGGGCGCGGCCGGCAGCAGCGTAATTCGGCTCATCCTAACAGGCCTGTCAGCGGCAGACAACTTGTCCGACTTGTTCGGGACATCCGGCAGAGTCTGCGTTCCCGGAGCTGATTTGTTTCAGCAGTATGCCGGCACATCCCCACCAATCCACCAAGTTTCCTGGGTCAGGTAAATGACGTCACTGGAGTCTAGTGACGTGAGTAGACTGCGACACGGAACAGGTCCGGGACTCGGCGGCAAACTATCCACATCCTGTGAGCCTGGGGGATTCACTGTTGATGAGTTACCTCCAGAGCGTCAGTTCACGGTAAACCAACACCCTGCGGCCTCCGCCCACCTTCCGATCTACTTTTCTCGTCAGCTGCGGCTCGGTTTCGGAGGCACGTAACTTTAGCCCGGATACAGTTCGGGGTAGCGGGAGAGCCGGACCCGGCAACCAGGGCTCATCCCCATCTCTGACAGCTTCTGTCTGTATGTGGCTGGCCGACCCATCCAGTACGTCATAGACGGGGACTTCCCACTGCTGAAACACCATCGGCACTACCGCAGGTCACCAGGTCATCGGCGGGGAACCCCTGTGATATCCTATTTCTGTGGAGCATAAACACACACACTTCTACCGGCGGCGCATCGCACCACTCACTACCCACCAGCATTGACTTTGACTCCACCTATTAGTGGGGTGCTCCCTGTTTGTGATTATGCGAATAAATAAATAAATAACAAATAAATTAACTCCATTATCTCACCTATACTTAGGATGCAGGTCTCCCTTCTTCCCATCTGTATCTCCAAAAGTGTTTCTCCCCTTCTGCTCTGATCTCTGATCTTTTTGGCTTTCATCTCTTTTCCCTTTCTCTCTCCACTATCACCTTTCCTCTCTCATCTCTGGATTCCTTCTTCCCCTCTCACCTTCCGCTTTTCCCGTCTCCACTGCCATCTCCCCCTCCCTCCCAATCCCCTCCTCCTGCTCCTCATCCCTCTATCCCCTCTCTCCTCTCCCCCGCTCTCACCTCCTCCTCGTCCATCTCGTCGCCGTCGTCGGGCGGTATGTCTCCGGGGGCCGGCGGCGGGGTGGGCGGCCGCGGCGGCGGCGCCGGCGCCCCTCCCGGCTCGCCGCCGCCGTTTGAGAACATGGGCGGCGGCGGGATGGGCCCGATCTCCGACACCGACATCGGCGGCTCGGGGAGCTCGGCCAGCCGCAGGCCCTGCTCCGAGAGTGACGGCGGCAGGCCGGCCGACTCGTGGTGCGACAGCGCTGCGGGCAAGACGCGGGTGGGTTAGGCGAGGTACCAATCAGGGTGCGGTCACAGGTTTGAGGTCGGCAGATCGGGCAGGTTGAGTGTTAGCTTTCAAACATTGTGGACAGAATGTCATTGAAGAACGCATGTGGGCTCACAAGCTACAGTAAAGAGTGAAGGCATTACATACATAAATGACGGACAGAGTTACGAAAGAACAAGTAACGGTGGAAGCTGTTGCTACACAACACATGGTGTCTGTCGACGGGACTTTTCACGCTCCCAAACAAGTTCCAGCCATAATAAACTGAACTTCCCTCGAGCAACAGTTTATCTGCTAACTCCGTGATACACAGGCACGGCATCAAACCGAGCAACAGTCCGGACCACCGCCGTCACAGGCTGAGGGCACGGTCTCCGTCACGACAGGCCGGCGACACCGGGTGGGCGGCACATCAAACGGCAGGCGCGTGCCGTCAGCGGCCGCCGGCAGCGCGGCCTGATGGTCCGATCGCCTGCCAGCGCCGTGCCATTGCCAGGCATCGACCGGCGCACAGTGGCCCTTTTTCAGAATTAGCACGCATTAATTCCCACATTACCTGAAAGTGGTGCAAAACATCACCACGTGATCAAGGACGTATTCCCTGCCAATGCAAAGAGAAGAAAAGAAAGGAACTGCCCAAGGAGATTCGGCCCAACAGCGACAGGCCGCTCGGCCCAAGATTTGGCGCACGTTCGCACGGCTCGCCCGCCGGCCCAGGCCGCTCCGAACGCAAGTGTGGCGAGCCCGCCAGCCTACCGCGCTGCACTGACCGCCAGGACGCCCCAGGGCGTCACTTGACCGCATCTACAGCTGTTGCCAGCCACCGTTAGTCGCCCCCGGCCGGGCAGCAACTAAGGTCAGCGCGACGCGAACAATACAAACACATAGGCGCTTTTGACGTTAGATCTTAAGCCGACCACGGGACTTGTGCGGCTTGGACATCAAACGCGACAAGAAATCGGACAGTTTTTCTTGGACACAGCGTTATGCCTACATGACATTTCAATTAGCACATCTTATGGCAAAAGTCAAGCCACATTTAGGCACACACCAGGTGACACCAGCTTCGAGCCAGGCCAATGAGCTTAGTCGTATCGAACAGGAGTCACAGCCGCTCGCGGACTGAACTGGCTCACGTTATCCACCGTAGAAGCAAAATGGCGCAAAATGGCGCGATGCCCTTTGGTGGACATGGTCAGAAGAGATCGGCGATTCGAACGATGTATAATACGACATGTTCCAGAGTGTGCTACTTAACATAAAGCTTCATATGTATGCCGCCATCTCCAGTTAATAATTGTCCTGTTATTGTGTCCACAATATTCGGCAAAAGTGGTCTATTTAAGTTTATACAATCAAAATAGTGGTTTCTAGGGCTTCTACGTAAACTCAGCTTCACAGCCATGCCACTAATTTTTAATATTTTCTCATCGAAAGTCTTACAAATTGATGTTCATCTCACCCTACTTTTTAGGGTCCGCCGGTGGTGTCCGCGCGCCTCTCGACAAACTTCGATTTTGCGGTCAGTTTTACCAAAGATAATTATTTTTTAGGAGGTAAAAATGGCACCATCGGATAGTTTGGAATGTTTTGCACACGATTAGACTGCTTTTTACTCAAAAGAAGAGAAAAAATATTTTGAATTTATGCGTGCTAATTCTGAAAAAGGGCCACTGTGCGGCGGTCACACAGACACACACACACGGACAGACGGACACAGGCACATTGACGAACCGACATACACTGACACACACGACACACTGACACAGACACAGACACAGACAGACACACACATACAGACGGACATACAGACAGACGGACACACAGACACACACGAACACAGACAGACACACGGACGGCCGGACGGCTGACGGGGGCTGACACGCGTCCTCACTGCCCGCAGCATTGACAGTCGGTAACGAGCACACCACACCGGGCCCGGGGTTTACGTTACATAGACGCCAGCCTGCAGCGCTCCGTAACGAGCTGATGTTCGGGACAAAACAGGCATACGGAGGGATACAGCCCAACGACGCAGCGTGCATAGTTACATAATACATGACATCGAGACGTACAGACACAACGCCAGGCAAGACTCGATACCACGCGTGAGATACATCGTCAAAGCCCTGGAATAATAGCATGCTTTCAGGCAGAAAATCGCAATCGACCCGTGTTGTTTACAAGCCACTCGTCTATGAAATCAAAAAGAAGCCAGTAAAACCAAGAAATGAAAGACAATATGAACAGTTCAAGGAGGGCATGCCAGCAGCATGCGTCCGTCTAAGGTGTCTGTAAAAGCAGCTCGTGGCGGTGCGTCTTCTCCACAAAGCAGCCGAAGAAAGCGAGCCTCCTGCCTTCGGTATAACAGTCCACGATCCGACAGCCAAACTAAGACGTGCGACCACGGGAGCCGGACGGACGAAACAAGGCTGACACGAAGCGATGGTGAAGAAAGCAACCAGATCCTCCAGGTGCATAGCTCAACAAAACCCAAGTGGAAGACCATGGACCAAAGACGTGACGGAAGCAGGTCACAGAGACGAGCGCAGGCCAGAGTGACCAGATGGACCGGGCCGAGTCAGACCATGCTCTGGGCCGGCGCGGTCGGTCTCCATGCCATCGGCGCGGCTCTGTGCGGCTCTCCGCTCGACTCACCATGGGCGGCTGGCCGGTGCAGCGGCGCCGGCAGGCTGACCGGCCGCCCGGTTGGCGGCGTGGCCGGGTAGGGCGGCGGCGGCGGCCGCTGGGACGGCGCCAGCGGCGGGCTCGGCGAGTGCGGACCGGAGCTGCCCGGACACGGCGCGCTGCTCGACTGGTAGCAGAGCAGCCAGCGCGGGTGGCGGCCGCCCGACTTACCCACACTGGCCGTCAGCGAGGCGGGCCGCTCGGGCCGCGGCGGCGGCGGCGGCGGCCCGGCCGCGCCGGCCCCGTCGGCCGCCTCCGCGCCGCCGCCGCCGCCGCCGCCGCCGCCCAGGGGACTGTAGGGCGGCGCGGCGTGGTGGGTCGGAGGTGACGAGCTGACGGCGCCGTTCAGGTGGTCCCTCTCCTTCAGAAGGTCTGCGGACACACAGAGCGGAGACACGGTCAGAGAGGGGCGGACAGAGGCAGCTTCAGTGACACCCGAGTCAGCAGTCAGTTGGAACCGACGGTCCGTAAAAGCGGCACGGTCAGCGAAACCCTCAACCTCACCTCCCTTTCCGTGCTAACGGACGATAGACCCACCTCGCGGTTCCGTGGTTCCTATCGTTTCCTGGCACCATGCCACAACACCCCCACTACGTGCAACGGCGAGGGAAATGTGTCGTTACGACACACATAGGCGGTGTCTAACGCCCGAAACGTCCACATATTATGGCATTCGTGCCATTAACGCTGTGTGCTAGAAACAGTGCTCAGTTATGGACGACTTACAGGTTGCATACGCAAGGAACATACATACACAATACACATATAATTCACTTATGACAACTGCAACTGCTTCATGGCCGCATGTTATCAGCCACTCGCAATAATGAACCTGATGTTTCGGGTATACGGTTGACTTTCCTTGCAGAACAGCAGCAACGATTACACCGCACGGTGAGTGCCCATTGCTTGCCCTAACGCTAAGTGCATGCCACATCACCCTCCCACTGGATTCAGTGCCTGGCTGACGGTCACTGAGTAGCCTGCTCTCAGTAGGACAGCGTCAGCAGGCGCGCCGATGACGCCCATGGCGCCGGATCACGCCCGGATGACACCCACCGCGACCGACGACGCCCACGGCGCCAGGATGACGCGGTGCCGGCGTCAGACCCACAGCAGGGCTCCGTCAGCCGGCCGGTGTTAGTTGGAGCCGTGCCGGCCGGTCAGCTGACGACCGCTGGCAGCCGGCGGTCGGTAGGTCAGCCTGACCCGTCCCCGGCTACCGAGGACGGTCCGGCATCATCCCGCTACCGAGGATCGGCTTCACCCGGCTACTGATAGAGGTCTAACCCGGCAACCGATGACGGTCCGGCATCACTCCTCTACTGAGGGTCGGTCGGCCTCACCCGGCTACTGATAGAGGTCTAACCCGGCTACCGAGGACGGTCCGGCATCACTCCGCTGCCGAGGGTCGGTCGGCCTCACCCGGCTACCGTGGGTGTCCGGTGGGCCTCGCTCTGCTACTGAGGGTCGAACTCACACACCTACAGAGAGGGTCCGCACGTCCCTCGGACTAGCGCGGTTTGGGGCTCTTGCCGACAGCATCTCAGAGCCGGGCTGCATCGTCCTACACCCTTCCACCCGCACCAGCAGGCCGTATCATCGAGCAAAGGACAGTCTCTCACCGTAGCCCATCGTGCACAGGGCTCATGTTCACCAGTTCAAACCGGTACAGACAACACAGCGAAGCTTAACAGCTCTGCAAGGTGAACCGAGCTGCAAGATACCTATATTGCAGGATCTGATGCAATAAACATATTTCCATTATTGGACACCTGCGCCATGCTGACAACAGGAGACAGCAATCGTCATCGATTACTTTCCAGATAGGTTCTTTATGTAAGGGGTGAGCTCTTGATAGTAAGCTGCGCAGTTTTGATCTCTTTCAGGCTCAAAGCACCGGTGGCAAGCGGCATGAGCAAAAACGTGGTACACAAACTCCAGTACTTATGTCCGCGTCATGGGCATACGAATACACGTGTCGGGCTATAACAAGAGCAGCGGGGTGGGTGTAACCACAATCAGTGTGAAATGGCCCAGCCCACATCCAGCTGTGGGCTGGGGCGGTGTGAGATTATTCACCAATTCTCAACTCCCTAGAAGTAGTTACTTCTAAATATTTCATCAGTTCCAAAACCATAGTGAAAACTTAGCCGGCAGATATTTCACCGAAACATGAATGACGCAACATCGCTGCTCAAGTGCTCAGAGAACTCATGACTTGGCTTCTGGACAAGAGGAGACTGGGAAGAGGTGTCCGGCACTCTCTGTGCCAAGTCTGAGCGGGAGGGGCGGAGTTCGGTCCGAAGTTGTCCGACAGTCCGTCCAAAATGATAATTAATCGACGCCCGTCACTCGTAACATCAATGCTTCTCAAACTTGGTCCAAAGATCACCACTCACCAGACTGCCAGCACCTTCCAAAGTTCGGAAACATGTTTCTCCCTAATAACTGGTAGTGGCCATTACTAGCATTACTTACCACACCACTTTGCCAGGTGGATTATTAGCTGGAAAAGCGTGGAGCAATGGCAGTCCATGCAATCAGCGCCGCAATGACGATTGGTAACCACAGGCCTTAGTGTGGTTTGGCTTCACAACCGCGACATACGCCAGGCCATTAAACGACAATGCGACACAACGTAACTCCTAGCTCACTTATTTAATTAAAAAGTCGCCTCGTATGACGCAGCAAAGCAATGCGACACAACACATGACACAGAACACCACGACTTATTCCCACATGACATATTTGCAAACCAACTTAAAGTCAATCGTCATGTCTAGAAACTCCAAACGTAAGAGCGTGGACGTTTGACCAAAACAAGCACACACAACACACACAACCGATCGACCCACTGTGCGTTATTGCTGGTGTCTGCACTGCTGGCGCCCCCCCCCCCCCCCACCCGTCAGGTCACCGGACGCCAGCAGTGCAGTGCTCGGGTCAGCAGGTCAGGAGTGGCCCGGTTCGATCGACCCCAGTACCCCCGGACGTAGGGTGGCTCCAGTGTCCGGTACAGCCCTCCTAATCAATGGGTCCACGGCACGGCGCCGCTCCTGGCCGGCCCAGCACGGCCGCCACCAGGGCAGGGGGCCGGGTCCGACCGTATCCGGGGACCACTGGTATGTTTGACCGGCGCCAACAGTCGCGGTTTGTGAGCAGAGCCGAATGGTGCTGAACTGCTTTACGGACTGGACTGAGGGACTCTGGGTCGCGGCAGACGGACGCAGGGAAGGTCAATGACAGCGGGTGAGGTGTGGTGGTGCGTAACGGATGGAGAATCGAGAGGTATGGGCACGGGTGGTGAGGTATGGCGATTGCCCCTGATGAATTTGGCCGCCGTTCTCTGATAGATGAGGCCTCGCGCTGGGAGCCGTTGGCTAAGTAGTCGCCCTCCTGTCGAGAGCCGTTGACTAAGTGTTTGCTGAGTGGAGGTGAGTGGTGGGCGGTGTCTGGCAGCTGTTCACCGGGCCCAGTAATTACCGAACCAATCGGCCGGTACGAGCGGCAGCGGCAGACGGCAGCAGTAGCCCCGGCCCGCTGCCGGAGCCGAGGACAGCGGACTGGACGGCGGCGGCCACGGCGCGGCCGACCCACTCGTTAATCACTCAGTCAGAGCGGTCAGATCAATACCGGCCTGGCCCCGGCGACTTCACACAGTCCCAGACCGGTCAGCGGTCACCCGGCCCGTGGCGACTTCACATCCTGACCCGGTCGCCCACTCCCGGCGACTTCACATCATCACCGGTCACCCGTTATCGGGAATCCTCTAGCACTGCAAGCTCAAGAGCAGACTGTCCTTTCCCTCGAGCCCTTCCGACGAGTAATTCCGAGTCGCGACAGCCAGCGCGGCCAACTGTAAACTCACTAAAACCAACACGGGCTGTGTCTGGGCCGCCGCCAATTGTGCGACACCCAATACCGAGAGCAAACGCAGCGGCGAATCGGAGCAGACGTCTGTTTACAATGGGTAACGAAAGGATAGAATCAGGTATAACGGAAACACCAGAAGAGTTTCATGGCGAAGAGTAGAGGTGACTAGATAGACTGGAACAAGCCCTTGACATTGGTCGATATTGTTCTGGTGAACCATCCAGTTCGTTAGTCCCAGGACAGTCGGACGGGTTTAGGGCCTACGATGGGACTTGGGACATACCCCTTGTGTGCATGTGATCAGGGCATGGTAACAGATCTACCAATATCCTTCGGCATGGATGACAATATCGTCCGACTGTTATCGTCAATAACTACAGACATGAGACGAGGTATACATGCGTCATTGACGACTGGGGCAATGCTTTCTTGACATGTAAGGACACAATCAGACATCGACCTAACGCGAATCGCAGAAGGTCACAGCCGGGCATCGACCGAATGTGAATGATGGTCTATACATAAAAGTAATCACCATCACGCTCGTAAACCATGATGGAAAAAGAGCCGCAAAAGCACCTCTGTCGCAGGATGCCAGATATTAGAGAGGGCACCATCAGCATGCAGCCCACCACTCCTCGAGCAGCTCGAATTTCATCAGTCCTTATGCTTTTTCACCGGCTCATAGAACAAAATGCGTCCTTTCATTACATTGTTTCATTTCAATGCGTGACGTTTATACGATTACCATAACATGAGGACTAATGCCTGTAGGTATTCCAAGCACGGCGCCTTATGTCGGTCCCACCAGATCCCATCAGAGACTCATCTGAACACCATTTACAGGGTGTATCAGAATTATCCGGACACTTTGTTTTCCCCTCTGATTTGGAAAAAAGAGAAGATTGCATTTTCAGTTTATTTTCCGATGTAGCCGCCCTTCATAGCGATACAGTCACGCATACGCTGGGGCATCCCTGCCACCAGGTTCTCCAGCACATCGGGCTTGATCCGGCCCCACGCCTTTTTGAGCTGCCCTGCCAGCTCGCCGGCGCTGGTAGCCGGTGTCATCTTGTCGACCTCTTGCTGAACGATGGCCCAGAGGTTTTCGATCGGGTTGAGATCGGGGCTGTTACCGGGCCATACGCCACGCTCCCAGAAGTCGGACAGGTGCTGGAGACACCACTGCTGTGTTTTCTGGGCCGTGTGCGGTGGAGCGCCGTCCTGCATGAAGATGGCCCGGCTTGTGTCCGTCATCAGAGAGCGCTTCAGAACGCCGCCTGTCTCAGCCGTTCGGTGGATGGCGTCCAGACAATCCTTGGCGAGGATGTTCTCTCGGTAATACTCTCCGTTGATGACAACTTTTGGGGGCACCACGTGCAGCTGGGAGAGTGCACGGTGGGACATCATTCCCCAGACATGCACCTTCTCAGAATGCTTGACGGTGGGGACGGTCTGCACGTCTGAGCTGCTGGACACCCACACGCGGTCGTTTT